TTCGGACTGCCATGCTTAAACAAAATTAGCTGACACCTCATAAAAAGAGCCGTAATACTCTTAAACTCCTTTGAACGTATAGATTTAAAACATCTTACTTTAAGTCTCAATTTTGAAAAGTCTGTACCTTCTGTCAAAGTGTAACCACACTATATACATAATTAAGCTTCTGGATACCAGAAAATTGTGCCAATTTTTAAAAAGGACTTTGCGCTTTAATCAATCCCCCTCACAGGCCAAAACTAGGAAACTTCTTAGGCAAATTCCTGCCTGCATTTTGGTTTGCAAGCCACTTTGAACAGTATTCTCATTAAATATCTTCAGAAAAAAACTAAAAACACACAAATTCTTATGCTTGAAAACCAGTACATTTTTTTTTTCTTTTAAATCACACTCTTTTTAAATTTCTCACAATGGTTATGTCCCTAGAAAACTTACTCAAAGGTGTAGTAGAGATACAACAATACCTTTCAGAAGGGGTAAGATATCTAAAAACTTGGAACTCTAAAGGCCAGGGCGAGCAGAGTAGCATTATTACAGGAGAAAGCACCTCCTACTAAGACATCTAAAGAGCGAACAATCCGTCCAGACGCTTACCTTCAGGCGTTTGATCATCTCGTCGGTGGTGATCTTGTCGGTGATCTCTTTTACACCCGGAGGGTAAGCGATCTTCCCGTCGGCACTCACGACGCCACAGAGGGCAGTGGCAGGCTTGGGCTGCGCGGTGAAGTCCATCCTGGGGGACAACTTTTCGTTCACAGTCCTCTACCGGCCTCTATCGGTCAGAAAACCAAAGTTCAGCGGGAAAGGGGCGACTTTGTAACCTCTTTTTTCATTTCAAATCTCTCTAATCTGGAAAAGGCCCTTCCTCCCCGGAGGCCGGGGACCCGGCAGCGGCCCCACCACCCGCTCTTTCCCGGGGCTCGGACCCCGCCAGCGCCGGCCCAGCCATCCCGGGGCTCCTCGGTACCAGCCACCGCGGCCGCGGGAGACAGCGAACAGCGCCAGGAGTTTACCATTCCCCCTTTCACAATGAAATCCACCCCCGAGCACCAAGGTCCGAAGTTTGGCGGCCTCGGGAGGCTGGTAAGGACCCCAAGGCCCCAACTCGGCCGGAGGGAAGCGCCGAGTCCCGCCCGACTAGTCCTCTCCAGGAAAGCAGACGCGAGGCCTATAGGGCTCGGCTTAGGCCGCAAAACTAGGAGCCGAGCGGACCCACGCGCAGTGGCGGCTCCTGGGAACAAAACGCCCTTGCCCAGCCGAGCCTCGGACCCGGGGCAGTCCCCGCCGCGCTGCCGCCCCTCCCCGGTTCCGCTCCCTCACCCCCGCGGGAGGGGAAAACAAGCCGCCCTCCACCCCCAGCCCCGCGCCAGGAAGCGGCTGACGCGGCTCCGCACTTCACATTTTGTTCCTTCAACTTCGGCTGAGGGACCCCAGCGGCTTCTCTGGCTCCCTGCCGCTTGGCGCCGCCGACACCGCCGAGGCCTTCCCGGCACCCCCGGACGGCCCCACCGGGCCTCGGACCCGCGGCCCCCCCTCTGTCTCTCCTTCCGTCCCCTCCCTCCAGCAGCCGAGGGCGGGAGCCGAGCCGCCGCCGCCTTTACCTCCTCCTCATGCGGGCGGAAGGTGCATCGAGCGCCCGGGCCTCTGTCAGGTGGTTGCGCCGCCGCCCCTCGTCGGGCTGCACACAAAGCGGCTCCGCGGGTCCCGCCGCCGCCGCCGCCCGCCCGCCCGGGAGCGGCGCTGGGGCTGGCGGTGCCGAGGAGCAGCCGCCGAGGGGGGAGACGCGGGGCGAGTGAGCGCTGGGCGGGGAGACAGTGCCGCTCTCCGTCTGGCCGAGGAAGAGCAGCCTCCGAGAAAGCTCCTCCGGGAGCGTGTGTGCGTGTGGCCGCCCGGGACCCCCGCCGCCCGCCCGCCCGCACCTCGCGCCGGCCGGGGCAGCCGATTCGGACCCAGACGCCCTTCGCAGTGGCGCGCGCCCGGCCGTTCGTGCCCCGGGAGCCGGCGTCTCGCTCACACACCAGCCGGTCACGCGAGCGGCGCGAGAGCACGCGAGAGCAGCGCGCGCTCCTCGCTCCCTCCCCTTCCTCCGCCGGCCGTGCATCCGCCTCCCTCGGGCCCGAAGCGGCCGCGCGCAGGGCGGACAGCGCCGCCACCCGGTTGGCGCCAAGACCTGCCGCTCTGGGCGCCTCGGGGAGGACCCGACCCGACAGGGCCGGGAGAGGAGGAGCCCGGGTGGCGGGAAGCGAGCCCAGGTTCCCGCGGCCCTGCGAGGGCACGCAGGGCAAACAGCGCTTTATCTTCCGCCGCGGGGATGAGCTGGTGACTTTTGGGGGTCATCCTGAGGGACGTAGACGGAACTGGTTGCAAGATGGTTAATTGCTTGGTGAAAATGAAATGATTTCCGCCCCAGGGAGACATCTGCAAAGTAAAGTTGTGCAACCGGGCACTGCGTGAGCGGCTCACTCTCGGGTCTTCTGACACCTTTTCGAGTTGCCCACCCTCCTTAGATTTCTGAAGTTAGTATTTTGAAAGCTGCAAAACATGAAAATAGCATTGGGTCGAGTCGTCCTCAAGGTATAGTCTTTGGGCCAGCAGGCCTCACGATCACTTTGGGTACTGGCTGAAAATATGCGTCTCCAACTTCAAACATTAAAAAAAAAAAAAAAAAAAAGGATCTCTCAGAGCGGAACGCAGAAATAAGCATTTACTAATTAGGTGGGTGCTTCTTGTCAATAAGGAAGAACTTTTTTTTTTTTTTAGTGTTTTAACCTTACCAAGCATTAATGTTTTCTGCCGTCCAAAGGAAAGCAACTATCAGGTAAAAACAGTTCGCACAGCAGTGTTTGAGTAATTTAATGTATAGAATTGAAACAAGCGCAAGAACATACACTCAACTATTTAAAACAAAAATTAAAAGGATACACAAAATTTCCGAAAAGGAAGTTGAAGAAAGGATACAATAATATGAAACTGACCACTACCATAGTTTCAAATGATATTTGACTGTTTGTTTAAATTATTCTTGATGGATACCCATTGGTCTATTTTTTTCCCACATCCCTTAAGTCAGCTTAAAAATAGTGAAGGTACTGCAGCTCACTGACTTGTTTTTGAGATATTACACGAGGGAGCAGTCATTGAGAATCTGACACTCCACAGTTGCTGATTTGCTAGAACTCTGCCAAAAAGTTAGTGCTCTGTTCTTGGGCATTTACAGTACCAGGCAGAATCAATTTTAAATTGTCCTCATCCAAACTGTTAAGTGGACCAAAAGTAGCTCTCTTTTTAGCCTTTCTCTATCAATTTTGATATTTCTTATGTGTTATGTTTAAATAACTAAAAAGCAATGATTTTATTTTTCATTCTCTGCAGTGACTTGCTTATTATTAAATGGAGTTTTGTATATGTACATAGATTTTATTATTTTTTACATTATTTTATTATTTGTTGAGACAAAGTCTCACTGTCACTAAGGCTGGAGTGTGATGCTGTGATCTCGGTTCACTACAGCTTCGGCATCGCAGGCTCAAGCAATTCTTGTGCCTCAGCCTCCCAAGTAGCTGGGACTACAGGTGTGCCCCCATACCCGGCTTTTTTTTTTTTTTTTTTTTTGAGACAGAGTCTACCTCTGTCGCCCAGGCTGGAGTGTGGTGGCATGATCTTGGCTCACTACAACCTCTGCCTTCCGGGTTCAAGCAATTTTCCTGCCTCAGCCTCCCAAGTAGCTGGGATTATAGGCACCAGCGACTATGGCTAATTTTTAAAATTAAAAAAAAATTTTTTTTTATAGAGACAGGGTTTCACCATTTTGGTCAGGCTGATCTCAAACTCCTGACCTCATGTGATCCACCCATCTTGGCCTCCCAAAGTGCTGGGATTACAGGCATGAGCCACCACGCCTGGCCTAATTTTTGTATTTTTAGTAGAGACAGGGTTTCGCCATGTTGGCCAGGCTGATCTTGAACTCCTGACCTCAGGTGATTCACCCACCTCAGCCTCCCAAAGTGCTGGAATTATAGGCATGAGTCACTGCACCGGGCCTCCACCTAGCTTTTTTTTTTTTTTAATAAAGATGGGGTTTCACCATGTTTGTCAGGCTGGTCTTGAACTCCCGACCTCAGGTGATCCGCCCGCCTTGGTCTCCAAAGTGCTTGGATTACAGGCGTGAGCCACCTAGCTTTTCTTCCCCTCTCAGTGCCCAAAACAATGCTTTATATTGTAGGCCTCTTTAAATAATTATTTCACAAATGAAGGCCTGCCCTCCTGGTGGACCTTAATTTGCTTGAGGAGAGATAGATCAAAATAACAATAATAGATATATATGAAAATAAAGTAGAGAAGAGAGGCCTCACATCTGTAATCCCAGCACTTTGCGAGGGGGAGGTGAACAGATCATTTGAGGCCAGGAGTTCCAAAACAGCCTGGCTAACATGGTGAAACCCCATCTCTACTAAAAGTACAAAAAATTAGACCAGGCACTGTGACTCAGTCCTGTAATTCCAGCACTTTGGGAGGCCGAGGCAGGCAGATCACCTGAGGTCAGGAGTTTGAGACCAGCCTGACCAACATGGTGAAAACCCATCTCTACCAAAAATACAAAAATTAGCTAGGCACACTGGTGCATGCCTGTAATCCCAGCTACTCAGGAGGCTGAGGCAGGAGAATTGCTTGAACCGGGGAGACTGAGGTTGCAGTGAACAGAGAAAGCACTACTGCACTCAGCCTGGGCAACAGAGTGAGACTCCATCCAAAAAAACAAACAAACAAAAAAAAAACCAACAACAACAAAAAAGAAAGTAGAGAAGAGAGAGTACAGATCACATATAGCATTTTAGATCTCTGGGAGAAGTGTGGCTATCCTCTGATTGAGATGGGGAACTGGACTGTTTTAAGCAAAGAGGTGATTGATATATGTCCTGAGTTAGGCAACCTTGGTCAAATTGATTAATCCTTCTGTACCTCATTTTCTTCATCTGTAAAACAAGAATAATAGGCTTCTCCATGTTGTTGGCCGCTGTGCTGTGTCCATCCACGGCGATTCTTCCCACAGAGTTCTGAAGCAAAAGGCTTACAATTAAAGGAATAAAACATTTAAAGATAATTCGGGAGTACCATGGACAAAGCGTGTGGGTCGCTTAGACTCCAGCAGTAACTCCTGATCTGCAGTTCCCAGGGGTGTCCGGTAAGGAGAACATCACTACAGCGGTTTTAAAGAAGCGTCAGGAGGAGATGCGGCCCCTGAACATCGACGAGGTGGAAGCACCAGAGGAGGTGCAGGTGCTGGAGCCCGAGGAGGATTTCGAGCGGTTCCTGCTCCCGGTCATCAACGAGATGCGCGAGGACATCGCGTCTTTTATACGCGAGCCCGGGCCCGCGTACCTGCGGACCAGGAGCAAGCTGTGGGAAATGAACAATATCCTCATCTAGATCAAAACGCTGGTGGAGGCCTCGGAGGAGAGTGCCCTCAACCACGTGCAGCACCTGAGTGGCGAAGCCGACGAGAGAGTGTCGGAGTTGTGCGAGAAGGCCAAGGAGAAGGCCAAGGAGATCGCGAAGATGGCAGAGATGCTGGTCGAGCTCATTTGGCGAATAGAGAGAAGTTCATAGTTGAGGACTATAGTCAACTGGTAAGGATGAACTAACACATTGAGGAAACTGAAACAGCTTATCATCTTCTCTGTTTTGTTTTTGTATGTTTTTTACCCCCATGTAATAGTCTCCCTTATGGTCCATGATTGATAACCTTGATATGGGTTTACATCATCAAATGTATTTGGTTCTGGAAGGATAACTTTTGTGGGAGAAATACTGTTGTAAGAGAAACGGGGCTTAATCAAAAGTTGTTTTTGCGGTACGTTTATTCTTGTTACTTTGCTGTGCTTTTGAAATGTTGGGCATGGCCTTGTATTTTGCTGTTACCTTTGTGACCTGATTGTATTTTGGAACATGTCAAGACTTGGGATCAGAATCTTCCAACTTTAGAGGTGCAGTGGAAGGCACTGCACTACTTGGTTGAGCCTCGTGAAGAATGTATTAATGAGACTGCTTTGCATAAAGCTGGGAAGACCGAGAAGGCAATTGGAGATGAAAGTGGTTTTGTATATATTTTGGAACTTTCGTTCCTCTGTGAGACGAAAGAGGAGAGCTATGTTTTGTGGCACATTGTCTGATGTATATTGTGTAATCTGTCAGGTGAGTTGATTTAGACGACATAGCTGACCTTATATGTCAAGGCAGTGAGTATGGACTATTGTAATACCCTCACACATAACGAGGCTTCAGAGAATGGCACTGAAGAGACAGTCTACAAAGAGTCTTGAGAGACTGGAGAAAGGAAAAGACATTATCAGGGCCTGGAAAGTCTCTTCCAGTTCATCAGGGTAGTAGACCTGTCAGATTGGAGGTTAAAGTCAAACTTATAATAAGTGTTAATTTGCCTTGAAAAACAAAGACCTCAAAAGCCTTTTTTAAGAAATAAATTTTTCGTTCACATGACCAAAGCCCCTCCTGTGTGTGTTAACAAAAGAATCATAAATTTTTTTGAAATGGAAAAAAAACAAAACAGGATAATAATAGTATCTACTGTAAAGGATTATTATGAGAAATAAGGCCAGGTGTGGTGGCTCACGCCTGTAATCCAAGCACTTTGGAGACCAAGGTGGGCGGATCACCTGAGGTCAGGAGTTCAAGACCAGCCTGACCAACATGGTGAAACCCCGTCTTGTAAAAAAAGAAAAAAAAAAAAAAAAAAAAGAGAAATAAATCAGTTAAATTTTTTTTTTCTTTGAGACAAAATCTCACTCTGTTGCCCAGGCTGGAGTGCAGGGATGCGATCTCGGCTCACTGCAACCTCTGCCTCCCAGGTTCAAGCGATTCTCCTGCCTCAGCTTCCTGAGTAGCTGGGATTACAGGTATGCGACACCATGCCCAGCTATTTTTTTATTTTGATTTATTTTTTCTTTTCTTTTTTCTTTTTTTTTTTTTGAGGCAGAGTCTTGCTCTGTTGCCCAGGCTGAAGTGCAGCCTCCTGGGTTCAAGCAGTTCTCCTGCCTCAGTTTCCTGAGTAGCTGGTATTACAGGCGCCCACCACCACACCCTGCTAATTTTTGTATTTTTAGTAGAAACGGGGTTTCACCATGTTGGTCAGGCTGTTCTCAAACTCCTGATCTTGTGATCCACCGCCACTCAGCCTCCCAGAGTGCCGGGATTACAGTGTGAGCCACCGTGCCTGGCAGATATTTTTGTATTTTTAGTAGAGACTGTTTCATCATGTTGGCCAAGCTGGTCTTGAACTCTCGATCTCAGGTGATCTGCCCACCTTGGTGTCCCAACGTGCTGAGATTACAGGTGTGAGCCACCATGCCCGGCTATAAGTTAATGTTTGTAAAGTGCCCAGAATAGTAACTGGCATATACTAAGCTCTACATAATTTTTTTTTCATAAACTAAAAGAATTGTTCTAGCTGCTAGGTTGAAAATAGCAGTAGATATGCAAATGTGGAAGAAAGGTAGCCAGGTATAAGACAACTATAAAAATCCCAAGGAGAAATGGTAACAAGAACCATTTCTTAGGATAATAGCTAATAGAGGTCATGGCAGTAGAGGTGGTGAAAAGTAACAGAAGAAAAAAAGAAGAGACAAGAAATCAGGGATGACTCTGAAAGTTTTGGGCCTGAGTAACTAGAACCGCTATCCAAGATAGTGAGGACTGTGTGTGGATCAGATTTAGGGGCTAAAAGAAAGACATCCATGCTATCGTACAAATTAATTAAACAATGACTGAGCTCCTATACTGAATAAGACATTGAACTAGGGAATGAGAGAATATGTAAAAAGGCCAGGCACAGTGGCTTACACCTGTGATCCCAGCACTTTGGGAGGCCGAGGCAGGCAGATCACGAGGTCAGGAATTCGAGATCAGCCTGATCAACATGGTGAAACCCCGGATCTACTGAAAATACAAAAATTAGCCAGGTGTGGTGGCGCACACCTGTAATCCCAGCTACTCAGGACACTGAGGAAAGAGAATTGCTTGAACCTAGTAGGTGGAGGTTGCAGTGAGCCAAGATCGCACCATTGTCCTCCAGCTTGGGCGACAAAGACTCCATGTCAAAAAAAAAGAGAGAGAAAAGAATGGAAGTCAATAATGCAAAATTTAAAGGACTAAAGTCAAGGAAGTTATTTCGTTTTGTTTTATGTTGTTTATTTGAGACCATTTCCCTCCCACCCAGGCTGGAGTGCAGTGGCGTGATCTGGGCTCACCACAGCTTGGACCTCCAGGACTCAAGCAGTCCTCCCACATCAACCTTTGGAGTAGCTGGCACTCACTAGGATACCTGGCTTGTTTTTGTATTTTTTGTAGAGACGGGGTCTCACTATGTAGCCCAGGCTAGTCTCAAACTCCTGAGCTCAGGTGATATGCCTGCCTAGCCTCCCAAGGTGCTGGAATTACAGTCATGAGCCACTGCTCCCTCCTGGCCCCTGTTTTTGCTCTATTTGAGGAAGGGTCTCACTCTGCCCAGAATGGAGTGCAGTGGCACAATCAGGGCTCACTGCAGCCTTGATCTCCTTTCTGGGCTCAAGCGATCCTCCTGTCTCAGCTTCCCAAAGTGCTGGCATTACAGGTGTGAGCCACCAAGCCCATCCAAGAGGAACATTTTCTATTATTTATAGCCAGTCAAATGTCATTATGGCATGGTGGCTCACGCCTGTAATCCCAGAACTTTGGGAGGCCGAGGCAGGCAGATCATGAGGTCAGGAGTTTGACACCAGCCTGGCCAATATAGTGAAGCCCCGTCTCTTCTAAAATACAAAAATTAGCCAGGCATGGTGGTGGGTTCCTGTAGTCCCAGCTACTCGGGAGGCTGAGGCAGAAGAATCACTTGAACCCAGGAGGCGGAAGTTGCAGTGAGCTGAGATCGTGCCCCTGCACACTCCAGCCTGGGCAACAGAGTGAGACTTTGTCTCAAAAAAAATCCATTATATAATACTAGCAGATTGTTAAGTACTTGAACTTAACAAGTTTAACTGGAAATGCAACCAAATTAGAACTGGTAGCCAACAGTATTTGACTTTTCTGAGAGATGTGCCAAGGATTTGTGCAGCTTTTGCCTTATAAAGTTTTCCAAGTGAGGGATGGGGATTAAAAAAAAAAGTTTTCTGGCCGGGTGCGGTGGCTTACGCCTATGATCCCAGCACTTTGGGAGGCTGAGGTGGGTGGATTACGAGGTCAAGAGATCGAGACCATTCTCGTCAACATAGTGAAACCCCGTCTCTACTAAAAATACAAAAATTAGCTGGGCATGGTGGCACACGCCTGTAGTCCCAGCTACTCAGGAGGCTGAGGCAGGAGAATTGCTTGAACCCAGGAGGTGGAGGTTGCGGTGAGCCGAGATCGCGCCATTGCACTCCAGCCTGGGTAATAAGAGCGAAACTCCGTCTCAAAAAAAAAAAAAGTTTTCCAAGTAATTTCAGAAACTGAACAGTTCTTGGAATGTGGGCTACCTAGATAAATACAGCTTTGGAAAAACTCTACCTAGAGTTCAGTTACGCAGAGACTTGTCTAGAGACTAAAGAAAATTAAGCCAAGTCTGCAGGAAATTTAAGTACTAACTCCACCTTCTAATCATAACTGAGATTTCTCCAAATTTTCAGGATATAGGAAGTTTCTTTTTAATTTAATTCTTTGATAAATTGAATTTAACCAGAAAACTCCTTTTCTTTCCACTTTTTTGGAAGTATTTCTAGAATACATCAGTTCTTTTTTCAGTCTTTAGAAAGCATAGGATAGGCTGGGCACAGTGACTCACACCTGTAATGTCAGTGAGATAAAGTACCTAAAACTGCTTAGCACGGTGCCTGGCACATAATATGTGCTTAATAACTGTTGTCGACTCTTGTTAGCATTACTCATATTATTGCCATTATTGCTGTTCTTTTCGGTTTCGAGGAGCAAAGGAAATGAACTCAAGCTAGCTTAAGTAAGGAAAAAAAAAATGTGTGTGTGTGTATACGCATATATATATATATATATAAAATCATTATCATACCTATGATAATGATATCAGGAGTGCCTCATAGAACCCAAGTAAAATTACAGCTAAACTTCAAGAAAGGAGTCAAGTAAGAACTGAAAGATGATATCAGGAATACATTCTACTCCTAATTTCCCTCTGAACATCTCCTTCATTCTTTTTTTTTTTAGAGATAGAGTTTCTCTCTTGTTGCCCAGGCTGGAGTGCAATGGCGTGATCTCGGCTCACTGCAACCTCTGCCTGCCAGGTTCAAGTGATTCTCCTGCCTCAGCCTCCCAAGTAGCTGAGATTACAGGCATACGCCACCATGCCCTGCTAATTTTTGTATTTTTAGTAGAGATGGGGTTTCACCATGTTAGTCAGGCTGGTCTTGAACTCCTGAACTCAGGTGATCCACCCACCCTGGCCTCCAAAATGCTGGGATTATAAGTGTGAGCCACCATGCCCAGCCCTTCATACTTTGCTCTTTAAAAAGATCCCTTTCAGGCCGGGCGAGGTGGCTCATGCCTGTAATCCTAACCCTTTGGGAGGCCGAGGTGGGTGGATCACCTGAGGAGTTCAAGACCAGCCTGGCCATCATGGTGAAACCCCATCTTTATTTATTAAAAAAAAAAAAAAAAAAAAAAA